TTGGCAGCAGGTGGAGGGAGGTGATCCTGCCCCTCTCCTCAGCCCTGGTGAGGCCTCACCTGGAGCACTGTGTCCAGTTCTGGGCTCTCCAATACAAAAGAGACATGGAGCTCCCGGAACAAGTCCAGCAAAGGCTACAAAGATGATGAAGGGGCTGGAGCATCTCTCCTCTGAAGAAAGGCTGCGAGAGCTGGGCCTGTTCAGCCTGGAGAAGAGAAGGCTGAGGGTGGGATCTCATCAATGTGCATAGGTATGTGAAGGGAGGGTGTGAAGAGGATGGGGCCAGACTCTTTTCAGTGGTGCCCAGCGATAGGACGAGAAGCAACGGGCACAAACTGAAACACGGGAAGTGTGTTTCATGAGGAAAATGAAAAAAGGAACATGAGGAAAAGCTTCTGTCCTGTGAGGGTGAGTGAGCAGTGGAGCAGGTTGCCCAGAGAGGTAGTGGAGTCTCCATCGTTGGAGATGTTCAAAAGCCATCTGGACAGGCTCCTGGGTAACATGCTTTAGGTGACCCTGCTTGAGCAGGGGGTTGGACTGGATGATTTCCAGAGGTCCCTTTCAACCTCAACCACTCTGCGATTCTGTGATATTTTGAGGATTTTTCTGACTTATTTTTCCAGGAGGCTATTACCATAAAATATCATCCTAAACTACAAGCCTATCTTTAAGAAATAGATTCTCTGGAAATACATGAACATAATTTTTAAAGACAGACAAACCTTCTACTGGATTTTGTTGTTACTACCATTCATAGGCATAAACCTATGCAAATCTTGTTGTGCCAAATCTAAAGCAAATTCTTGCTTGTCAAATCACTACACATTTCCATCTTGCTTGCTTCAGCAGCAATATAAGAACACATAGCTCTAACTTACACTTCACAACAGGGTAAGTAATGTTTTCAGCATTTTTAAAAGCACTATACAACTCTACCTTTCTTGTTTGAATAATTCATTATGTGGAGTAAGTGACATTTATGACTACCATATGTAATTGTTATCTTTCTTCTCCATCTTCATGAAAATACAAATTTGGGGATGGCTTTTGGGATTTGTCTTTAAGGGGCGTGGGGTGAGGGAGCACGTGGCTAAATAGTATGAGTTCATGCATGCTTTTATATACAATTTGTTGTTAAGTTAATTGGTATCGTCGCTCATATTCTATAGGAACCAAAGTACTTTTGTCTAGTTAATGCTAACATTCTAACAGTATTAACATGCTCTCATTTAGTATTTATGTGTGGCATAAGGATAATATTATTTTAAGGCAAATAATGAAAAAGTAGAGTGTCTCCTGTATTCCTACTTGTTAGTTTAAGCCCCCTAATAACTTTATATGGTAGGACGACCTCTTTCGGCTCTCTACCATTTAGCGCTTAGAGAGCTCTATGAAACATGCCAACTTTGTGAATTCACATCAACAGCAATATCGCATGGCCACTTATATCCTCCCCTTCATACGCTCTGAGCTTCTGGAGCATTACATTATCCAGTCATGTACTTTGAGCTACCTTCTAGCCTCTGTGGGTAGGGATTTTCATCATACATAACTAAGCATTGCTACTCTGGGGTAAAAACTTTGAAAAAGAGAATTATCAACACAGCTGCACCCTATGAGCTGTTAAAACAGAAACCACAGCATTATTATTTTTGTTAAGCGTCTAGTCAAATAAATTAAAGCATATCTGTCTTCTATGAGAAGCTAGTAGAAATTTAGATTAGTTTGCCAGGCAGATGGTGGGTTTTTTTAGTAGGTTTGCCTGTTGTTTCAGCAGTTTATTTTGAGTAAGTAGGTGGTCAAAGATGCATTTTCTCTTGTGCCTTAGTAATTGAGGTGGTGATTCTGTTGAATGAACTTTAGTTTATCCTTTCTTTGATATGAGAAATCTTAAAGCAAAATATGAGTTAGTAACATCAGAAAACAGCACTGAAGTTTGCTGTGTATTAGAGAGAGAAGGATGCGGTGATTTTGTTTGTAATTAATAAGTGGGACAGAATGGCATTAAGCTAACTCTTGCTTTGTTCTCTACTGGTACAGGAGGTGCATCGGCGATTCGAAAACGCTCCCGACTCCGCCAAGACAAAAGCTCTCCAAACTGTTATTGAGATGAAGGTAAATGATTCTATATGGCCAACAGGAGATCCTATTATTTGGAATATGGTTTTCATAAGAAAGCTGATTATATCAAATACCATACTTGTGTCAGTCTTTTAATTTCAAAGTAATCCTTTCAAGATATTTATTGATCAATGAAGATACAAAACTGTTTCATGATACTGTAGGAATCTGCCTTCTGTCTGCCTGCAGCAGCGTGTACCGATTTCTTTCAGTTAACCAGGAGTCCATTGTATTATAAGGATGGGAATGATGGATTAATAGGTCTTTACAATTTATAATTTCTTTTTGTAGTATAAACCTTTGAAATGCCATTGCTCTACATGCTGTGTGTCAACAAAACTAGCAGTCTGCAACCTCAAAATCCGCTTAAAGAATGGATGATATAGCCAGATGCCTGTATACCACCTGAAACCTAACTTCTCTAGATGAATGCATATAATTGAATTCTTAAACTGTTAGCTCAGATAGTTAATGGAACAACGGCAATTTGCCAAGAGCTAAACCACAAGTAGAATGTGTGGTTTACACAGCTTTATGTAATCATATTTCGTATTGTGTGATCCATAAAATAGATCAAACAGGCAGGGTTTGAACAAATACACTTTAAAAAATTGGAAGCTATTCTCTTCCATTTCTTTCACTTTCTCCCTCCTTCTCTATCTACCCCTTTCTTTTTTATTTCCCTTCTTTTTTTCCCTTCCAACTCTTTCTTTCCGTTCCATCTTAATGTTTTCCATAGCCGTTTCCCTTCTTTCTACCCTGGAGCCTATCTTTTATTGTCTTTTTTTTATTAGTCTTTTTCATGGTCCGTAGCAATTACAGGTAATTGACGATCTGGTAACAGTAAGCTGCCTGTGCTATCAAAAGAGAAACAGATATTTCTGGGAAAGGTGAGGAGTGAAAAAAAATGCTGTTGTAAATACAATGTTGCATTTCACCTTGCTACTTCTATAATTTCTTGTTGCAAAAGTCTCCTTTGCCAATTTTATCTTAAGCATCAGAAATTAATCAGGGGGTCAGACTGGATCTTCATAATAGCCCTTTAGAACAATCTTATTTCATGAATGAAAACCTGTATATGAAAATCCATCATGCTTTTATTCCAGCTATACTTTGCTTATCAGACAAAAGTAAATGTTGTTGAATGATTGATCTGTAAAGGAATGGATGATCCTTTCAAATACTTCCTGTATTTCAGGAAAGAGAAAATCTTTTGGAGCAACCAAGTAACTGAGTGAAACAGGTGACTGCTCTAAGAGGTTGCATTTCATAATTGCATATGCATATTCACTCATATGCATGAAGCTCTGTATGCTGTATGAATCAGTTCCTGTTGTTCCTAACATGAGGCTTCTAAAGAAACGTTAAACCAGCTAGACTGAAGACCTCTATTCGTTCTGTAAAACTGTGAGGAAGGTGATAGATAGACCTTCTTACTGTTCCAGATGTAAATTTTTAAACTGTGGAAATATATTAAATATTCTATGTATGAACAAGGATGGTTGAGCATCCTCCGCTGATTTATTCACTGAAAACTAGATTGTTGTGTCTCTTCCTTGCTTATAGTGCTTTTAATGTTCTCTTTTTGTGACCTCACTGAAATTACTAGTAACTGAAACTCATTTTTTGCCATTCTTACAGCCACGTTCTACAGCATATTCAGTAAGAATTACCTCTCCTTAATTTATGCCAGCTTTGATTTACAAAGCAATGTTTTTTATATTCCCTTATTTATTCTTTATATAATATGTCCCTGCCACTAGCCATGTTTTCTTTCAATGTCAAACCCTTGCTTTCCTTGAACGGAGGGTTGGACTAGATGATCTCCAGAGGTCCCTTCCAACCTCAACCGTTCTGTGATTCTGTGAAATGTGTTTTAAAAAAAAAAAAAAAGAAGAAGAAGAATACTTGAGCACTCAGCCAGATGCTATGTAAAGAGGTACAGACTGTTTTCTGTAGTAACATCAAGGTAAATTTCAGGGGTGGATACATGTGTCCAAAAAACTCTTTACTCTTGTACCTCTCATGGTATGTTAACAAGTCATTTAACTGTGTGTCGCTCTTTACCTTTTCAGGATTCAAAAATTTCTTCCATGGAGCGCGGCCTCCGAGATTTGGAAGAGGAAATTCAAATGTTGAAGTCAAACGGAGCTCTGAGCACAGAAGAACGTGAAGAAGAAATGAAGCAAATGGAGGTGTATCGTAGTCATTCCAAATTCATGAAAAATAAGGTATTAAGAAAACAGTAATAATAATAAAATAAACTGAGCCTTAGTGAATAGATGTGAGAATTTTCATAGCCAGCTAGGGAAAGTAGTTAGGATCTGGGTTCCCATGCAAATGCTAGGAAATAGTACGAGAGTATTTGTATTCTGCCTTGAAGCCGCTAGAATAACTTTTAAATAAGAGAATTTTAAACTCAAATTTCAGAATAGTATAGTGGTGATTCAGTAATGGCAGTGGGACACATTCTGCTTTTACTTTCACGCGCCCAACTTTCTTTTATTTCGAAAGGATTTTGTGTTTATCTTTAGACCATAGATAATCCATTATGCTTTTAGGTTTTATTTTTGTCTATAGTCTTTTCAAATATAGTCTATTGAAAAAGAAGAGTGTTTCTTTTTGTGACCTGTTGAATAATCTGTATTGTAGCTAGGATGTCTTTTTATTAGGTAAAGGATGAAAAGAGCATGACCGTTGCTGTAACGGCTTTCCTTTACACTCTCCTTCCTGTAGTGGCATCAGGATATGAATAGATTCTACGACAGTGGTGGTGTTGATGTGAATTTATGCAGTTGAAAATATATGTGCCTTAGGACAGATATAGCTGTGAGACATGCTGGTTCTCAGGCATAAAGATGGACACAGATTGCTGGAATGTCTGTAGTCAAATGTCAATTCAGTCTTTGTTTCTCCCAAAGAAATATTTCTTGGTCTCAGTTAGTAGACCCTAAAGTTTTCTAATAGAGATGCAGGCTACCTTGTGCAGTAAATATAAGCGTATTGTCAAGAGTCTTGCTTTTCTTAGTTAGCTTTTGCATGCTCCTTAAAAGCAGCGTACAAATCTTTGGACTAGAGGTTGAAAATTAGCCTACTAGGTCCTGAAGAGCTCTAACCCACTGCACTTGTCCTGTTTGACATCACTTGTCTAAAAAAGAACATTGGAGAAAATTTATTGGAGAAATACAGGTATTACTTTCCCTGAAGTAGAAACATGTAGTGTGTTTCTTCCACTTTTCTCACTTCAGCCCAGTGATTCACCTCGAGATGAGGACTTCTGTTCTTTTACACTTTTGTCCTTTATTCCACTGAATTGCTTCTAGAAACTGAAGAATGCCACCTTCCATACTAGGAATGGAGAGAACACTTTAGCTCTTCCTTCTGTCCTTTCTTCCTTCCTTCCTTCCTTCCTTTCTTCTTTCCTCAATAGCAACTCACTTCTACTTCCCCTCCTCTCCCTCTATGGGTCTACTAGGTCTGTTCAGCTGTTTCATCTCCTGTGTCTGCTCATTTCTTTTCCTGCAGAAAACTTGTTCCTTTTTGATAGCTATTCGCTTGTGAATCATAACCAGCTCCAGTTTTCATGTCTTGCTATCTTGCCCTGTTTTGTAAATGCACAAAATTGTTTTTTATTCAATATTGTACGTTTCTCTTAAATTGAAAAACTGTTCTCTCCCTTTTCCTGTCCTGCTTTCCTCATTGATTCCAGTTTCAAAATTGTTGGATAAAATGCCCAATATTTGACATGTATAAACATAAGCATAACTGTTTATAGAATCTGTTTTTGTTTTATAATCAAATTCTCATCTGGCAGCCTGTGTGAAATTATGGAGACATTAAGCTTTTGAGAAGACTTAATGAAGAGAGGAGGGGAAAATGAGTGAGCAATGTTGATCCTTCTGTTCAGTTCTTTGTCATTTTAGTTACTTGGGTTGAAACAGGCCAACTAGAAGATGACAAATGTTAAACATTTAAAAGAGTAACAATGTCGTGACAGGTAGAACAACTGAAGGAAGAGCTAAGTGCCAAAGAGGCTCAAGGGGAGGACCTGAAAAAAAGAGTGGCTGGTCTCCAGACCGAGGTCTCTGCCGTAAGATTTATCTTCTGTGTGCACCTTCCATTCATTGGGGCTTGCTAGCTCTCTGGCTTTTGGGGTAGCTTGTACTTTTCTTCTCTTACCTTCTTCACAACTTTATATAACAGTAAAACTAACAGCCTGCTCAGTTCTGTAGCTGCCTTTTGTTCACACCATTTTGGTGTCCATAACATCACTCTTCGGAATGCACCGTTACTTGTTTTTTTTAACAGTATGATCCATTTTAGCTTTAATCTTTTCTATTGAAGCAGATTTTTAAAAGTATTCAGCACCCATTTTGGGGCCAGACTTTCAAAGAGATTTACTTTCCCAAGAACAAAAATAATCAGATAACTATTAAAAAGTGTATGCTGAACCCTCTTAATACTGTTTCTCTCTCTCTCACACACACGCGCGCACACACTTGCACACACGTGCACTCACACGCGTGCATTCATGCACACTCACATAGGCGCACTCACACACAGCACAATGGGATGCTGAACACTTAAAAACTGATGGGATAATTTTATATATGATATATTATGATATATATAATATATAATTTATATACAATTTTACTGGAAAAGTAGTGCATTTGCTGCGTGATTGGAATGCCTCAGAGCAGAGGGATGTTGAGCACCTAAAGCTTCCTTAAATTCCTTTGCAAATTGAAATGATATAGACTGCATTCTTCCAAAGAGCTTTAGCACGTTGGCGATGTGGGCTTACAGCTCTGAAACAAGGATTTCTGGAGAGAATGGTCTTACAGAGAGAGCTGCTTGGGAATTTTCATGTAGCAGAATATGATTTTATCCAGGTGAAAAAAGCCTAAACTGGTTTGATGACGTTTTACTGTAATTCATGGTACCTACTAATTGAAGAAGTGTGTGTCAACTGAACTTTTTAGGGAGCTTTTTTTGTTTAGGGACTGTAGAAAACCTAACTAGTGTGAAGTAGTTTATATCTTCCCAGTTATTCTGCTGTGCCTAGCAGTATGGTGCAACTGGTTTTATTGGTCAGTATCTGACAGGAGAAAAAATGCTGCTACCATCTATATTTTTATATCTTCTTTAAAAGGATGGTGAAATCATACTGTGGACCTATTTGCTTTAAGTAAAAAGAATTAGAAAAAAACAACCTATTATTTTTGATTTAAGTGAAGAATACACTATTTAATAGTTCTGTAAATTAAATTCTCCTTATCTTTCATCCCATTTCTCCATTTAAAAAACAGAAACTTTTTTTTAAAGAAAAAAATGTCCTCCTTCCTCCTCTTCCCTTCTTCCTTATCTCCTCATATACACCATTTCACACTGGAACACAGGAGTCCTTAATGACATCCTTTGATGCTATTTTAATACTCTTTGGTAAAGAGTTTTCTTTTCTTTAATAGTCTATTATTGAAACAGTGTTGTCAAGATAGGAGCACATTTGCCCAAGCCTTTTCTTTTAGCTATATTCCTAATGGGATATCAGTTAATTAAGATTGAAAATGTAATGTACTCTATATTGACTTATTTTTGTTAAAGGGTTTTTTTAATACTACAAGCAAATTTGTTCAAGTTAAAAAAGAGAAAAAACTTTTATTTTTTAAAAGATGTGTACGCCTCTACTAGATAATATGTAGAAGTAAAGCAAATTTTATGCTGTGAGATGTTAAGGGCAAACCAGAAAGTTAGTTAAAAACTTGGATGTTTATAGACTTTCCTATCTTCTCTATTAAAAATGTATGTTTTTCTTCAAGTTGACCTCAAAGTTGTTATGGATAATGATTGCGTTTAGAAGGAGATGTGATCTCATCTCAGTGCTTTACTTTAAAATTTCTTACTAGTTACCTTTTAAAATGACAATCCAACCTACATTTGTTGAAATAAATTAGAATTTCCACGCTGATTTAATTTACTAATTAAATCTAAGAAATTGCTCTCAACAATATGCAGTTCCAAAAACAGTTCTGACGTTGTTTTGATGTATATTTGCCCCTGCTTTAAGAAAGTTTACTAAATTGAAGGCTCTTTCTTAGAAGAGCAAAATACTAGTTTCGCAAATAATGGGAAAAATAAATGTGTTTTTTGATTACATACTCTGCAAACATGCGATTTGACTGATAAATGGAACGATGGGAGAGTAAAGCTCACTGGATTGACATTTAACAGCAAGCATCGTTCTTTTAAAAGAAAATCTGTAGGTCTCCCATCTTCTCTGGTACTATTGGGTAATACATTCTTATTACAATTCTGCTTCATTTTCATTAAAAGTTTATCCCTACTAAGTAACTAGTTTTGGTCAGTCCTTTGAAAAGAACCTCTCTTGCAAAATTAATGCTATTGCTTCCCCCTTTTTTTTCCTTGATGTCTTTTGCTCATGGCACATTTTTTTGCTAACCTTCCATTCAAGATAACTGAAGGCTTTAAAATTCTGTGGGATGAGTTCAGGGTATCATACCTTTTGTTGGTAGATGTGTGAAGTTTTAGTTATTGTTGTAGCAAAGGTACACATTGATCTTTTTTTTTTTTTTTTTTCCTTTTCCCCACCTTTTCTTTCTTCTTCAGATTGGTCAGGTGAAACAAGAGCTGTCACGCAAAGATACGGAGTTGCTCGCCTTGCAGACAAAGCTGGAAACCCTCACAAATCAGTTCTCAGACAGCAAGCAGCATATTGAAGTTCTGAAGGAGTCTCTTACAGCTAAAGAGCAGAGAGCTGCCATCCTGCAGACAGAGGTGAAATGGAAAGTTCTGTATTTGTTGGCTCTCCATAGATGAAGAAGCAAAAAGGATTATTTCTTTTCTTCTTGCTTAGATTATACAGTTTATTTAGGATTTTTCTCTCTGAGGACTCTGTGGCACACTGTAATCTGTCCCACAGTGATTTAATACTGCTTGTTCTGAACACATTGCTCCATGTTGTTTCTTTGATTAATCGTTTTGAATTCTCTAGGCTAGGGGATTGATAGTAAAGAAAAGTATGCGTGTATAGGTACGTGCATATACCTGTGGGTGAATGCACGCACTTATACTACATGCTGCACTAACATGCAGTCAGTAATATTATTGTTCCTAGGCACAGCTAAACTGGAAGCTGCAATGCCTGAGCTGGGGGGGTTACTTTCAATGACCTCATCGCTAAAAGAGATCGAAGAAAGGAGGAGTGATCCAGTGGCATGCAGCTCACTGTGGCTTCATTACTACTGTTAACATGTGCAGGAACTCTTGCATGTAAGCCTGTACTTACACCTGAAATATGGGGTTTCGTGTTTTATGGTGCATATTCCAAGATAAAGAAAACATACTGTCAGAACATTGGGATTTGAAAACAAATATTTAATGAATTCCCATATTATGTAAGATGCAATTGTACGTATGAATGTCAAATGATTAATAAGTATAGCTTATAAATTTATTGCTTCTGGAAATTCTTGAAGAACAAATATGAAATGTAACCACAGCATTTCAGTCCACTGGCATGGAAGATTGTAGTGCTGCGAAAAGTCCAAAAGATGGCGGTCATGCATCAAAAAAATCTTTGAGATGTTACAGCTAAAACGGTAAAAAGCCAAAAGAGCCAGGAAATAGGTATGCAAGAGAATTTGGGGATAACATTGTTAGAAAGATTCCGTAATACAGAGTGTGAGAGAATTTAGTTGATCTTTTAATCCCAATGTAGTTTTCCTTTAGCTATGTTCAGTGAATCTATGGGTGCAATTTCTTTACATGCAGAGATAAAGTTGTGTAATAAATACCTATGGCTGTTCTAAGATAGCTTTTGTGATAATTCTCAGATTTATGTAGAGGCCGAAACTGCAGAATCTGTTTCCTTTAAGGTAGTAGTGTTGTAGCAGTGGTAGTCAAAGACTGTAAGTGAAACAAGTCTTACAGGGAGATAGAGTATCTTCACTAGACTTAATTTGCATATATTGGGAAAGAAGAGCAGACAGGGTCCACAAGGTCATCTGTAGGTCTGAAGTAAAGACAGCAATTTTAAAGTTTAAGTTGAGAATAATTGTTCCGTGTTTAACTTTGATTATATTACTAGGTAATTTGAGATTGGTAATTAATTTGAAGCTACTGAATAGGGAGGAGGTAGCAGAGGAAAAGGAATTAAGGACCTTAGCTTTTCTGGAACAAAAAGAGAAAAATGTGCATCCAGAAGCTTATCTGTTTTTTGGAGGTTTTTTTGTTTTAAACTGAGCTAAAGAAAACACAAGCAAACAAAAAACTTGCCTTCCCAATTACTTATTGGATAGAAGGAGACTAGATTAATTTAATGGACTGGTTTTAATTGTGTTTTACCTCTGCAAGCTAGAAAGCTTAATTTCGATTACCTATCTTTATCTTTTTTATCTTGATAATTTTAGATTATTTACTTGACACAAGGTTCTTTTTCATTGGTTGATATAACTATGAAAATGTGTTAGTTTTGAACATTTTGTTAAATTTGTTCATTCTTTTTTTGCTAGTCAAGATCATACGCGCTTTTTTCCTTTTTTTAAAAAATTACTGAGTAGAGATTAGAATTCACATATTATTGGAACTAGATATTGGGTAACTAAGCGTTTAGAAAAGAAGAATTGCACTTTTTGATCCATTTTAATGATTGAAAATAATATAGATGTATTATTGCACTGCACAGTGCTGTGACAGACTTGCAAACCTAGAGATGTTTCACTTCTTGCTTTTAAATAATAAATACTTTCCTGTTGTCTAAACACGCTAATGAAATACAGCACTGGGATTTCTGCTATTATGTCCTGTGATGTACCTGTTTCTTAAAGGAAAAGATAGCTTTTTATCCAAGAATTTTCACAAGGAATAGGGTAGGAGCACGAGATCCTGTCTAGTCCCACTTGTTAACAACACTGGTCAACGTTAAAATATAGCTAGTTTCTCTCTAGAGACATCGAGGGAATTGTGGGGGAGAACAGAGGTGTATTTTTGGCTATACACTGGCAGAAATCTTCATAGGACAGGGATATCTTAAATACCTCCTGTTTACATAAATGTTTTGAGGGAAAAGAGCATACTTTCATAAGCCTTTGCCCTTTAGTCTTCCATTACAGAAAACTGAGGGTAGGTAGGAAAAAGACATTGGTACAGTATCTCAAAAATTAGATTTAACACTTGCCATAGTAGAACTACAGTGTCCTGTTTGTGGGGTGTTTATCTTGAGGGCTACTGGGTGGAGAAGATATGGTGGTTAACTTCTCAATTTGTGAAAGAGCCTTTAAAAATAGTTCTATAAATTTACAATCTCATTGCAAATAAAACAAAAAATAAATCAATATTTATTTTGGAGTTAAGATTCCATCCATATAAAGTTTGTATTATGCCCCAGTGAGCCCTTTCGCGCTTAGGTCTGTGCTGGCAGGTATGTAGCTTCAAAGGGAGGTTAGTTCAATCAGTGAGAACATTCCTCTTTATTTTTACGTAGTGCCCAAGGTGGCATGAGTCTGTAATCAGTCTATTCCATGTGGTACTTTCAGATTTGTATCCGGCAGAGAAATAAATCCAGTCCTCAGAGAGTATGTTAGTTGCTCTGAATGTCTTAATAGAACGTAACATTTTCTAAGACTCTTTCCTTATTAGGGCTTGCACTGGGATTTTAAAACCATAGTTGCCTCTCCCAGTATCGAAGACAGGGAGTGCATCACGTTTAATGAGGAATATGTGAACAGGACCTGGGTGTTTCCAACAAGACTTGTTAGCGCTAGCTACATCATGACCTGTGCTGACTCCTGCAAACAGTGAGGTCAGTTCACAGGGCTGAATTCACTGTATTCAGGCATTTAACGCCTTGTGCTAGAGATTATGGAAGAGCAGTTCCGCAATCAGGCCTGCGCAGGCCTTGCAAATGGTACGTATGTCCTGCATTGAGTTAATAAGCCCAGCAAGAACCAAATAGGCTGTGCACAAAGCCGAGTGTGTGTGCACCTCTCCTCCATGACATGGTTGTGTAATCTGTATAAGTTGTCCAGATGACTGCGCCGTGACACGGTCATATAATCTGAATACATTGTCCAGATAAGTAAGAGTTGTGTGTGCACCGAGAATTCACTCTGAATTCTTCTATAGACTGTAATGGATATTGTTACAATTTGTTTGGGACGGTAAACAATCAACTCCAACACAATTTGTAAGAAAAATCAATGTTGAAAATAGAGATTTAAGGCCTGTGAACCACCATGGATTCAAAATCAGTCACTAAACATAGTTGTTAAATCTTAATTACTGACTACGCTACCAGGGAAGCAGCTTAGCCCCTTTCTGTGTTGTAATTTGTTCGAAAAATAGCAACAGAATGTCACAAAACTAATCCTTTTAAAATGTAGTTTCTCATTTCATGCATGCAGTTGGATGTTTTACCTAGCAATGTTTATAGTAGGGTAAAAGCAACATTTCACATCACATACGAAATACAGTTTTACTACTTCTTTGGTACATTTCTAAATTATCTCCTGCTTCTGAATGCCGGCATAGACAGGACAGAATTACTTCAAACTCTACTTTAAAAAATAGTTACGCCCTTAAATTGTAGCAACCTCTGGCCTCGCATTTCAGGATTAGTATTCTATCTGTTTCTTTTGCTATCAACAACATAGTCATATCAACAGAAGATAAAAAGTTTGAATTTTGCCATTAGAGAGAGACCATGAGGCTTGGTCATAACTTACAGATGATTGTACTTTCTGATTTTACTGAATGGAGTATGGCTTTGTTCACTGATCTAAATCAGTGGTTCAGCCATGGTTTGGACAGATGGCAGTTAAATGAGAAGAATCACTCAATCTCAGGAAGAGAGAGTAGAGCACTGCCTTTTCTGGACATCACAGATATCTCCCTAAACCTGTGTGGGAATCACCAGTGTCATAATAATACCCTGATTACTACGATACAGTAGAGATGTTGGTAAAAATGATAGAAAATATATATATGTGTGTGGAAGTCCAAGCCCTATTGATCCAAGCTCCTCAGTCAATTCTGGAAATGGAACCTAAGCTTCTAATCCACTGTGGACATTTGAAAATTTTAGTGATTTCCCTAAGATATAGATTGGTAATATTCCAAAGTTAAGACTTTGATCTAATTGCAGAATCACAGGGGAAAAAAAGGCTTTAGAATAAATTGAAATACGGTATCATTGCTTATTCTGGTAATCAGTGGAGCTACTGATGTTCTCAGTACTGGGTGCTAGTTTCCCATCAGAATTCTGTGCGCTTTCCCATAGAAATTCTTTCCCATGAGAATTCTCTGTTCTATTGGGAACAGAGTTAGAGTATTATGTACTGCTACTGGAAAATCTGATGAAGAAAGATCAATGGTTCCTAATTCAGGTTTTCGTACAGAGCTCTTACAGTAAAGAGATTTGTAGTCTTAGGTATGGTACTCGGCTGAAAAGAGGACTCTTGTGTACCTGTTGAGTCTTCATCTAGGAACGCTGTTGTGTTGAAGGTGGCAACTAATATGCTCCTTTTACTAAAGCTCCGTGGCAGATTGGATGGTACGTGCAGGCCGAGTTAGCAAGCACTTTGTTATATGAAGAACTAGCAGTTGCCTGAGCTGCACTTTAATATTTTACTTGCCGTGCATAATTAAAGGCATAGCAGACTATTACTGTGCAAGTAGTTAGGTTAAATCTGGGTTAAGACAACACCATCCAATACGCAGAAGTCAGGAGAAGGGGCGTCACCACCTCAGTGGCTGTTTGCCTGGTCGTTTCCATGTGCAGAGAAAGTCTTAAGCTGACTTTGTTGAAGCTGGCATCACCTGACTGCCAGAGACCTCAATTCTTGTCACTGTGGGTGGATGCCATACATAAACTGAGTTGACATGAATAAACAAGTGGAGTGTTCTGCCAGGAATAGTGTTAAGGTGATGACTGTGTGTCCTGCCAGCCTTTGAAAATATTCTTGAAAGTGTCTTTTGTGGTTTCCTAGGCAGGGACCTCACACAAATAAAACCAGGAATGCAGTTTACCCCATACCGAAAGCTAATATAGAGTTCAAAGAGAATAATCAATCAGAAAATGGAAAGCTTTCTGTGGATAAATTTTTGTTTGCAGATGTTGTATGTTCACTTAATGCTTTGCTGTAGGCATCTGGAGTGTCTCAGATATTTTGCGACACAACTGTTGAGGGTATGTGGATTTTCTTGTGAGGGAGATTTTCAGTTTCCCTTCAAGAATGAATGAAGTGACTCTTTGCTTCAGTACTCGATGCATCCAGAGCAGGACATACCTGATCAGTCAACACTTCTGTATGTTTTTAAATAGAAGACATAGTCTGATCCACCTGTTAAACTTTTCATTATAAAAACTATCAATCCTATAAATCATATGTGGATAATACCTGCTACTCTTATATCAGTGCACAATATGTTCCATGCCCCTCTCGCTGGGTAAGAGGTTAGGAATGTGATTTTAATAATGTATGTGTAAGGAAGAGCAGAGCTGCTCTTTTCCCCTCTGGCAAGGGCTTGTTGCTCCATGTAAAAAGAATCAGACAAAACAGCAAAGGCTTTAAGAGTTACGTACTGTAAATGTTAAGCCTTAGGGGCAACTTTTCCATTAGCAAAATGAAAAAAAGTGGAATTAGAATGACACGTTAAATGCTGTCCAAAATACAGTAAGCCTGTCTTTAAAATCACTCTCTAGCTGGACTTGTCCAAGTCGTCTTTTTGCTTCATGTCTCTGCTAGCCTGAGCTGTTTAGAAGGACCAAGAAATTCGCAGATCACCCTGTTTACTCACTGTGACTGATGTCCTGTAATGGATTCAGCTAATAGGGACCAAACCTGATACTGTCAAAAAGGATTAGCGGCCAAGCGGGCAGATTTGAGTTCTGCTTGAATGCCAAGTGGATAGGGGTCAGTGGGTTTCTTTTGGTATCTTGAGCAGGTTGGTGGTGTTGGATTTCGTATTCCACAATGGTCTTTGAGATTAGTCTGTGCTCTGTGGTGACCTTTTTCCTCTTACCAAATTTATATTCAGATAGCTCTGATTCCTTCTCTCTCTTTTTTTGTCTTGTGAGCTCTATGTTTCATTTGTACAATGAAAATGTGGAAGGAATAGCAGAAGCTTCTCAATGTGCAATTTTGAAGTTTGGGGATGCCACAGACTTCCCAGAATATGTTTCTACGTTTATTAATGCCATGGGAAATCTAAGCATCTTTAGGAGTCCAGATTGCACCGACAGTATTCTGTAGCGTGTCATTCTTTTCCACTTTATCTGCATCCTGCAGAAAAAGCATCTTGTGTTTAACACTGGTTAGTTGGTATTTCAGCCAAAATACTCTTAGCCATCTTAAGGTAGTCCTCTTTCTATGTTTTGATCTGCAGCAACCGCAAGGACTTGTACTGTCGTTCCTTGCAGCCTGAGCTAATATTCTGATTAAATAATGAAATATAAAATGATTGTTTGGTGCTAATAGTCAATGTTTAAACCTCTGAATATTAGTTATTTTTCAAATAAGGGGACAATTTTCCTACATGTGAGAAAATTTTCAACTCTTGAAAGAAATGCATTCTAGTGGTTTTTACTCTGAGGAAAAAAATTTCAAACTTTTATCTTATAGGGCAGATGTTAGAAGTATGGTTTCAGATGTTCTTAGAAGGAGCATTAGTCATGTGTAATTTGGGAATAAAACATTTTACTATTTTTATTGTTCAGTCTCCTAATACTTGTGATAACTGTTTTGTCACAAGCTGATGTATGTTGAAGTCTTAAAAGATGGGATGTTTTTATCAGAATCTACTTGCAGTTTGACCACACTCACTTCTTGTACAAGTGCAGTTTCTTTTCTAAAATTTCTCTCCTTCCTTGCTAAACAAATCCTGTTTCTGCATGTCTAAATCCAGGTGGATGCATTACGATTACGTCTGGAGGAGAAGGAGACAATGCTGAATAAGAAGACAAAGCAGATTCAGGAGATAGCAGAGGAGAAGGGGACTCAAGCTGGAGAAATCCATGACCTCAAGGACATGTTAGATGTGAAGGAACGCAAGGTTAATGTTCTTCAGAAGAAGGTAAGATTGTAGATGTCGAAGCTGGATGTGTCTGACACATTATCATTCCTAAAGCTGTCAAAAAGTCTGAACTAGAAGTTACGTTTTGAAGGTTAATGATTGAATCTGTTCATATAACGAGAAGATGGTGAATGATGCATTCCAGTTTAGTCAAAGCTTTGAAGAAAAAGAAAGCAGAAAAATTTCAAAGCAAATGTTGTTGCTTTTCAGTGGTTTCATGTGCTGCTTCTGCTTCCACTTCACTATTAACACTGACTAAAACATATGTAGGGAGGGCAGACCTGGTGGAAAATCAATCCTTTCACACCCACCAACTTAACAAAGCCACGCTGATTTGAGGTATAGGACGCTGGAGTGACTATGGCATCAGTATGTGAATAAATGAATGAAGGATTATATCAGTAGAAGTAATTAGGATGATTCCTCTGTAACTTAATGAGAAAAGTTCAGGAAAAAGTATATGCAACTCCCGTTAGAAATGCTGTTTTATCATACTTAATATTTCTCAGGAGGTAATAGAATAGGGTAATCGGAGTTCAGATCATCCTGCATAGATTTCCGGATAAGAAAATGTAGGCTTTGTCAGAGAAATGAGGGAGGTTTCCCAAAGGGCAATGAATCCTAGGGCAAAGCAAGTCATTATGGATGATCGTTGTCACATTGCACAATCTTCCCCAGACAGCTGCTACACATGGTAAGAAGAGAGAAATGCACGTATCAATAAATTTTAGTTTGTTTTTTCTTCTGTGTTTTTGGAAGAGCTGCTTTTGGAACTTGTGTTCAAGATATCTGGCTTGTGAAAGTGTTTTTTTCTAGACCCTTAAACAATTTCATGGAATTCTTGTAGTTTTACTAGTTTAGAGTATTGATTAATTGCTTTTGCCTGTTCGGTGACTTTTCTTATAGTATATAGCTATCAATCATGAGGGTTTAGACCATGTTAAGTTCCATTTGAGCAGACCTCATACAGGAATAGAAAATCGGGTATGGAGTTTAGCTATAAATAAGCCATAATTCTAGAATTTCAGAGCCCTATTCCCAGTCTTCATGGTCTAATTTTTTGACTGTTCATCTTCTTAGGAACACTCATAGGTCTGTGATTTTTGTAGAGTTGGTTCTTTGTGCTATCTCTTTGTGTTCAAAATGGGTCAGGCACACTCCAAATATTGAGATGCCAGCTGAACGCTTAACCAGGAAGTGCGGACTCTGATGTTCGTGCTAATGTTAAATGTCAGTGAGCCTGTTTTATCTTCATTTACTTTTAAACTGTTTTTTCACATGTTTTCTCATTTGGTCTACTTAACTCTTCAGAATGCTCTTTGATTGGTTAATTTATAAGCAGTGCTGAACATTCTGGCTTTGCTCTCTTTTAGTACTTATATTCTTCGTACCACTGCAGTCTGCGTTATCACAGTTTCATCGTTGTCTCTTCAAGTGGCTAGCCTATTTTTTGAGGTTTGTTTGCCGCTGCCTTTAAGTAAAACCACCTGGTTGCTTCAGGTCGGAGAGTAAGGGCCTAGGCTTGTGGATGGAAAGGTTTCGATGTCTTGTTCTCATAGGTTGCTCAGCAGAGGACAACACTGCTGTAGTGAACAGTAATGTGAGTTGTTGTGAGCTTCAGAAACTGTCTCTGAGCTTCTTAAACACGGAAGACATATCACCTGCCTATAGAAAAATATCTTTTGTTTCCTGCTAGAAACTAGAACCACATACACAGATTTGAATTTGCTTTAGCCTTCAAGCTGTTGGAACTGTTCCGTTAGCATGAACGGTTAAACTGTGAGGTTTTTAAATCCAAAGATTTTGTGTTCTATTTCTATAATGAGCAAAACTAGAATGTTTTGCCTAGAATCCAGCTGTCAGTCTTTGTATCGGAGGTAAGTGATGCAATACGGAATTTCTTTTTATTTTTGTATGGCCTAAGGTGAATGAGCACAGCTTCAGTCTTTCAAAGTTTTAAGACTGATGTCTTTATCTGAACTTTTTATTGCTCATTCAGACCTGGAATCTGAGACTGAATTTGGGGTTTTCTATAGATTAGGCTTTGTGTTTTCTTGTTATTTAATTTTTCTCTTCAGGATTTTTCCCTCTTCAGGATTTTTCCACAGGAAACCGGAGCTTGGGAAAGTATATAAGGAGGAACAGGTCTGATTTTCCTCCATGTACTTCAGAAGTCACAAGAACTTGTATTAAATCTCTTTAATGTGCTAGAGGAAATTGTGAGGTCTTTTCTCCTTTTGTCGTGGTTGTCCTTCTTTGACTGCACAGATAGCTGTTTCTGCCCTCTGTTTGGAACTTGAGCTTATAGTTTCTCTCATATGAATGTTTTTCTCTTAAAACTTTGTGTCGTAACCTCTGACAGATTTTTTTTTTCTTTTTGCATTCCTTATTATATTGAGTTTATGCTCTTATTAAAGTACACAGCCTGTTTTCTGGTTTATCCAAGTGCTATCTTTCAGAGCTTCCAATGACAGTTTAGAATTTTATTTCATATAAAAAGGACAGCCTTTAAACTTTTGTTTCCATGCACAATGGTCCTTTTATTCCTCCTTCTGATTAAAAACTGGTATTTGCAGGCAGATCAGGTTTTAATCTCTGTATTCAAACTGAAGGTCTGGATGAATCTGGTGCAGTTGAAAGTATCTTCAGAAGTCATAGGTAGTAGTATTTTTTGCTGGCTCAGTTATCTAATATTAAATTGTATTTAGGCACTTTAATTGAATACAGCGAAAGACTATGAAAGCGGTAGTATGGCACAAAAAAAGCTTTTCCTTTTGTATAGTGTGAAGAAATTTTTTTCTATAGCTGTTTGGAAATATCACCAGCATATAACTGCTGCTTGTAGTTATGAAGAGGTATGGGACACAGGCGTTGGCAAGAATTTAACTGAATTGAATTTCGCATTAGTGGATACTATTCAATCAGTATTTTTTTACCAAATGCTTTTCCTGCAACGTGTTTTCAGATTTGAGGATATTTTTGCAGTGGGCACTCTTGTGAACTAAATTTTGAACATGAGGATATTCTTAATGCTAAGTAAAAAGATAATTTGTAACAAATGCTAAAACCATAAAGAGATTCAAATGGCAAAAATTTATTGAAAAGTCATTAACTGACATAACTTATCCATCTAGAAAAAGTTGTTTACTTTTCTTTTAAAATTTAGAAAGGTCGCCTTTTCTAGTAATATAGTTATAGCCAAGTCATATTTGACTATGTGTGCAATTAAGCTAGCCCGAAAATCCTTTTGTTCATAATTTTTTTTATTTTCCGAGACTGTTTCAGATGTGTAGTCGCCTACTCTGATCACATTGACAAGAAATATTGGTTCACGTGGTGCCCAAAACTGTGTTGTACTAAATCCTTTCAATTTCTGTCACTGAAGCAAAAATGATTTGAAATTCACTCTTATCATGGGGCTAGTGGGTCTCTGTTTGATTTGCTAACACAGGTTAACTGCGTAGTTGGCTTTGTATACCATTAATAACATTGCTATATGGATAAATAAAGGTGGTGAACTAGAAAGTATTCTCTTTGATCATTCTGAAATCCAGAAGGGGAAAGTAATGAATGTTTGCTGACTGATTAAAAGATCAAATAAAGGAAGCAATTAGAAGAAGATTATGAGTAACAAAGATTAGAAAAATTAACATGACAATTGGCATCACTACCGATAACGAGTAAGCACTACTGAGAAACCTGAGGAACCTGTTAGTGAGAAAACCATGTGCACTCACATGTTAAATTCTAGAATCTTTCCAGTTTTAAGTTATTACAGTTAAGCTGCTTGATAGCACCTTTATTTGAGACAATAGGAATAAAACAAATACAAGAAATCTGGAGACTGTAGAAATGATCTTTACTGTCTTCCTGTCTGAAATTTCATGTAATAGCTTAGTTTTACACAATGTGGGAATTTTTTTTTCATGTCATTGAAAAAAAAAGGTAACCTTAAATCTCATGTTGAGTTGTTAGAGTCCCAGACAGGGTAGAATATTGGAAAATAGAATAGGGAGTACGCTGGACAAATCTGAATCTGAAAAACATCTGTCTATCTGTGCTGGTAGACTCGTCTGCAAAGGAATAGGAGAAAAAAATCAATACTCTGTAATCGAAGCAGTTTACCGAAATAGCATTTGGGACAAAAGATAAATAATGTTTACCCTGAAAAAGAAAGAAGCAGTGAATATATCACCCATTGCTTTGCGGGGAAGTCACGTTTTATCTTGGTGGGGAGGGTTAATGCTCCCTTCATTGTGTAATGCAGCTGCAGTCAAACAAAATATAAGTTTGAGTGGCTGGACATAGGGGTGTTTTTTGGCAGCTTGCCACACACTATGTGATAGTTGACCTGTGATCAACTAGAGGAAGAGCACAGATTCATTGTGGCTGTGCTGATGTTGTTTGTTTAGCCTCTATTTGGAAAGATCCAGATGTACTCTTCTTGCTCTTTTGAATAAGAGGTAGTACCTTTCTCGAAGGAAATAAATGCCCTCTAGTTTTCAAAAAGTTTAGAAATCCAATTTCTTATGCTTAATGGTAGGAAATACTGTGTGGCTGGAGAGAGGGACTGCAAGCGGCACTTGTAACTCAGTTGTTTAAAATCAATAGTGATCATAGTTACAACAACAGCAATGTTAGTGTCACAGTGTTTGTACTTGAAAAATAATTTTCACTCCATTCCCTCATCCATTCACTTTTGGACAGATTTTGTTCTCAACAAACCAACAGCTATGTCAACATTGACCGCTCTCAATACCAAGAGGCCTCAATGACTATTGTTGTCAAGATGTATAGCTATGGAATGATATCTATCGATATCAATCCCTATCAATAGGCATTGATACCTCTCGATCTCGACAGGCATCTGTTGCTTTCACTCTTGGATGGATTTTGCTTTTGGTAGGCATTGATAACTATTGATAACAATGCCCCTCAATGCAGTGAAAGTATCAAAGAAATCTAGAAAGTCTTCATTATGTGAATTTAGCATAATTATC